AAGGAAAAGTGAAACTAAATAAAAGATGCTAAAATAAATTAATGATAATCAGTCTCAAAATAAATACAATAAAATCTCATTTTATTTGTCAAGATTTTAATTTGAAACTGAAATTTAATTTTGGTTTTTGTCTTTTTTATTTTTTATTTTTAAATATGAGTTGAGTCTCAAATATTGAGCATTAATTTGAAGAAAAAAAATACTATTTTTCTTTGGCCTTAAACCTCATCAATTTTGTAAAATGTAGAACCACATCAAGAAGAGGTAAACTAGTTAAAATTTAACCGTTCACCGCTTTGCATTTATCCCATTATGTACGTTTATATAGGAATTGATTGTTCCCTTTTAAAATAAAAGATGGAGATTGATTCAAGTCTAATAATTCATTCCTTCCATTATAATCGCTATTTAATTATGAATCTGTTCACTGTCAGTAAGACGCAACATATCGAGACATTGATGAGAATAGACAATTAAAGCTCCACATGCTTATGTCTAGTGTATCATAGTGTCTCAATCATCCTCACAACAAAGTAGTGTACCCACCATATTATTCTCTTTTAAAAGAAAATATAGATCGCTATTTAATTATGAATCCCTTCACTACCAGTATGCGCGCAACGTGGGAAAACATTGATGAAAACAAACAATTAAAACTTAATTCCAACAACAATAATTGATTGTTGTGTTCATAAATATTGTCTCATTTTTATTGAAGCTTATTCATTTGTATATGTCCAACAACTAACTAATAAAATATGGCTTTTCAAAAAAAAAAAACCAATAAAATTTGTAAATATATAAAAATGAAATGGGAATATAAAAGGAATTTAAAAAGAAAAAGAAGGCCGGGCAAAACAATTTTTTAAAAAAAATAATTTTTAAGTACACCAATTTGGTGTGTTTCTTTTGGAGGAAGTTTTGTACCAAATTCGTGTAATGGTGTGTTTATTGGAGATGGGCAGATGGCTTACCTTGTCGATCTAAAATTTCATTAATGTGTTGAACTTAATATAAGCATTAGTTTATTTCTTTATCAAATATGTCAATTTTTTTTAACAATAAATCTTTGAATATTTTTACACAAAAAATACTATATATAAATAATAGCATTATTGGACAACCCTTTTACGCGCATGGCATGAAGCCATGAATAATAACCAGGTGCGAATTCACAGTGGAGACAGTTGCTCCCCTTCTCTCCACCCTATCCATATATATAATAGCCCCTCGTGTGCGCGCGCGTGTGTATATATATAGAGTATATGTTTAGATAAAAATAAAATATACAGTTATTACCAAACACCCCAACATGTTTTCAAAGCATTTATCAAATTAATTATGTTTTATATTTATTTATAATTTTTTTATAAACGTTTGATATGTTTTGATTTTTTATCTATATCCAACTATATATATGCCTATGTTTTTAAGTGTTTCATTTTTTTCTTCAAACTATATCTTTTGTTTTAATTTTTCGTCCCCACTCAAAAAAAATTCTGAATCCGTTCTTGATAATAACTATGCACATAGTATAACTATCAAATTAATTAAACTTTTAATTGAGACAGATACTTAATTCAATTCAAGCATGCTAAACAGAATGAAAGAAAAAGGTAAAAGGAATAGGGTCAAGAATAAATAAAAAGTTGATACTTTTTCGACAATATTTCTAAATTCTAATTAACAATCATGATGGCTTTATAGGAATTATAGGAAAATAAACAGGAAGAGAAACATGTCTATCATATCAAACTGCGGCACAAAACCATATATGATAGAATATATTATTAAAAAAAAAAAATCCCTTCCCAACTACTATGTAATGTGATAAGTGATAACATCTCTGTTATCATTCTAAATAGGTGGTTACAAATGTTATTTTATAGTTGTATTTTGGCATTGGTGAAACGCAAAATTCACTAAAATGACGTGTCGAAAAAATGAAATGAACTAAAGTCTAAAAGCTAGGCAGCTTTTATTATAAGCTAGCTATACGGGGCATGCATTATCCGTGTCGATAGTTTACGTTGTACCATATTGTACATTTAATTTTAACCCTACAGCTATTTTGGCATTAAGGTTTAGTGACAAAATTGTAAGCATCATACGCATGCATAGTACCGTTAAAGAGTAGACGACACACTTAAGTAAATGCATGCATGTGATATACAATCTATCGGTATTCACATGAAAATGAAAGTTTTCAAGTAGAATTTATTTAGAGTGGCTGTTCTATTTAGGGTCCGTTTGGAAAGCAGGAAAATGACTTCTGGAAAATGTTTTTTGGAAAATGAGTCATTTTCCGGAAAACATTTTTCTTTCTAGTGTTTGGTTGCATTATGGAAAACTGTTTTTCTGTGTTTGGTTCATTTTCTGGAAAATGAGTAGAATTGTATAATTAAACATTTTAATTATTTTATTTAGAATATTACAACATGTATAATAATATATAATAATATAATATTAATTTTAAATATAATAAAAAATAGCTAAGTTTTTCAAAAAAAAAAAAAAACTAATAATATATCAAAATATTATGGTGGTGGTGGTGGTGTTATTCGTTATATAATAATAATAATAATAATAATAATAATAATAATAATAATAATAATAATAATAATAATAATAATAATTGGTGGTGGTATGACGGTGGTGGTGTGGTGGTGGCGGTATGGTGGTGGTGGCGACGATGGTGGTTGCGGTGGTATGGTGGTGGCAGGGGCGACGGTGGTTGCAGTAGTATGCTGGTGGTGGCGGCGACGGCGTTAGTGGTGTTGGTATGATGGTGGTGGTAGTATGATGGTGGTGGCAGTGGTCGTGTGGTTGCGGTGGTGGTGGTGGTGGCGGCGACGGTGGTTGCGGTGGTATGGTGGTGGTGGTGGTGGCGGTGGTTGCGGTGGTATGGTGGTGGTGGTGGCGGTGACGACGGTGGCGGTGTGATGGCGGTGGTGGGTGCGGTGATATGGTGGCGGTGGTTGCGGTGGTATGGTGGTGATGGCGGTGGCGGTGGTATGGTGGTAGTGGTGGCGGCGACGGTGGTATAGTGGTGGTGGTGGCGGCGGCGGTGGTGTGAAGGTGGTGGTGTGGTGGCGGTGGTATGTGGTGGTGGTGGCGGCGGCGATGGTGGCGGTGGTAGGGTGGTGGTGGTGGTGGTGGTAGTGGTTGCTGTGTTGGTGGTGGTTGTGGTGGTGGTGTGATGGTGGCGGGGGTATAGTGGTGGTGATGGTGGTATGGTGTTGATGATGTTGGTGGTGGTGTGATGTTGGTGTAAAAGTTGGAAAATGACTTCCCCCCAAAAAAAGGGGAAGTCATTTTCCTCTAAAACAAGCCTATTTTCCAAAGTCAATGGAAAACGATTTTCGTTGACTTGATTTTCCAGGCACATCCAAACACTGGAAACTTGGAAAATGATTTCCAGAACTCATTTTCCAGGTTTCCAAACACACCCTTAAATGAAAACCCCTTCAATTCAAATTAAATTGACTAAATGATATTGATGGTCTACAAATTTCAATAATTTACTTTGTGCTTGTAGTTTTCTTCTTTATTTTCCTAATAAGGTAAAAAATAATAGTCTATATATATATATAGCAAAATAAGAAAATTTTGTAATATTGTAAAAACAAATAATATTCATTGAAACACAGTTAAAGTTACCTAGCCAGACCTTGTCTTTTATGCTCTGATCAAGGTTTCACGGACATGGAAAAACAACAAATGTGAAAAAAAAAAAAAAAAAAAAAAAAAAAAAAAAAAAAAAGAAGTAATACACACACACATGCACACATATAGAAAAAGGATCATGTGTGAAGTTTTTTCCAAGTGAAACATGCGGATTAAAAACAGTTTTTGATCTTCTCAAAATCAACAGCCCAGAATGAAGAACAATTAAAAAAAAAAAAACACGACGACATTATGGTCATTTTGCGTAAGGTCACAACTTAAAGTGCGTAAGTTCAAAGCTTAAGGTACATATGTTTAAAGTTTAAGGTGCTCACTTTCTAGTTTAAAGTGCATTAGTTTAACTCTTAATGTGCGTATGTTTAAAGTCTAAGGTGCATAAGGTACGGGTGTTCGAGAGACATGATCATTTGCATCCATTTTGCCCGAAAGTGTGTTTTTTTTTTTTTTTTTAAATTTTTTTTTTTCAGTTCGAGCCATTGATCTAGATTAGATCAACGGCTTAGATCTCACCCCATTTTTCACCGGGGAGAAACTTCGCATGTGAACCATCTCTCTCTCTCTCCCCCTCTCTCCCTCTCCCCCCCCCCCCTCTCTCTCTCTCTCTCTATATATATATATATATATATATATATATATATATATCAAAAATATAAGAATGTATTATTATTATTATTATTACTTTTGGGTACACATTTTAAGGCCGGAATTGGAGACTAAAAAAATGACTTTATTAAACATAATACTTTTTTTAATTAAGAATTAAAAAGAAGAATATAATGTACATAAAAATTTGCATAAATAATCACACAGTTATGTTGCTAGATTATCATTCTTAAAAAAAAAAAAAAAAAAAAAACTCATCCATCAAATAGGGACAAAGGGCTCAGCAATAAGCAAACAGTTTACGTACATGTATATTGTGCGAACGGAAAGAATTTTATAACGATTAAAACAATAAGTAGGGGCCAATGTAATCACCTGACTACATCCACATAGTACTAATTTGTAGTTACACAGGTGCGTCTGTTTTTATTTATTTACTTGGAATTGCTAGTAATTGATTGATTTATTTATTTTTATTTTTATTTTTCATACTGCACTAATATTGATTTGTATTCTGCGAGATATAACTAACTAATTCTCGTCTCAGTTGAGTTTTACTCAGGACAGCTCTCTACAAATTGACATAAAATCCACAAGTTGTCTACCAAAAAAAGCCACCCACTCCAATAATTACACTTAAATTAAACCATTTTGCACGAATAACGAAGAAATTTTTGATGCATGAATGATTGAATGAGTGATGGGATTGGAAATTTAAATTCAAATCTACTATTTAAATAATATGTAACTTACAATCAAACTACACAGTGAACTTCATACTTGAACATTATTAGTATAGTGCTCACTATACTACTAATCAGATTAACAACATTAAGATATTAAGCCCGCATGGGCTTAGCCTACTGGTTCAGTAGGCATCAGATAATATTGACATTAATTATTAGACATCAGATAATATGATGATTAAGAAGTAAGAAATGAAAAGAAATAAGTAGTAGATCAGATGCACCACCAACCAATCAACCAAAGGAATTAGCTAGGGTTGCATATGGATTACTCCATAGTCATCTATCCATTCCACTTCTTGGGACTATCCATCAATCCAGGGCTTAACCTAAACATGAGAATGCAAAACTCCATCTGGTTCAGAGCCCCATCCCCATCCAAATCCCCTTCTGCCAGCATGCATATCAGCTCATCATCTCTCAGATCCTCTAGCCCCATCAGAACTGTGTTCCTCTTCAAGCTCTCAAACGTTATCAGCCCCGTGCTCACATCCATCAGTAAGTAGAACCTGTTATTCAATATAATTCCCCATTACCACACATATATATAAAATAATAAACTTACAATAAGATGCCTCATTAAACTATTTTCCCCTGGCTAAACTGTAGACACCTCGGGCGTGGGATAGATAGATGGCCTCAGGCTCACGGCTGAAAATTATGGAATTTCCGACCACCTGAAAGTGATCTTAAATCAAGTCGAAAGCAAAAAGTGGTTAGAAATAGCTAACAAAGGTTTTTCCGAATACCAAAAGTGATCGGAACAAGATTTTCGACTTAATTTAAGCTTTTAGGTGGTCGGAAATTCCATAATTTCCAGCCGTGGCTGATTATCGATCCCTTGACGTTTGGTTAAACTATAAAATAATAAATATGCGTCCTCACCGACCCGTTGCATAGCTCCCCCATGAACCCTTCTGATCCCAACCTCCGAATCATTGATGGGAAGAAATCCTCGAATACATATGGATCGTAATCAATATTTGCTCCTGAAGCCATGCTAGAAAAAAGAAATTAAAAAAATTGGATAGTGGAATTGCACGAACAGTATGACTGCAGCAGCAACGATGAAGGAAAAAGGTTGTTGAATGCCAATATGTTTTTTTTTTTGTTTGGTTTGGGAGCTTATCAGAGGTGGGGGTGTGTGTATATATACATATATATATACACATAAGAGGAGAAATGATTTTTGTGGAGTTTAGTGAATATGTGGCTTTCAATTAGTTTGGATTGAAATGAGGATATTTCGTTAGTTTTGTAGGGGATGGTTGTCCTTCCTGGAAGCTGCTGCATGGGATCATGACGAATCCTTTGAAAAGCACTTAACAATAAAAGGTGTTTTTTTCGGTTATATTTATGGTAAAATCTCTTAACCTCAATTGTCATTATGATGAATATTTTATCAATTATATATATATTTTTTGAATGACAAGAACTAAATATGAGCATATATTGTATAAATCCACTCTTGTATAGTAGCTCACAAAATTAAAAAAATTTAAAAATTGAAATATTCGATCGATTATATTTTACATGAGCGTAATTATGCTTTATTAACACTCCGATTAAACATGAATTGCTGGGGGCAGCATGTAGTTGTCATATTCATACAGTTCTGCTGTGGATTGATGTGACAACATTTACTGGGCAATGTTACTGCTGTTATGTTGGTTGCTTATAATATTACTGTTTTGTGTTCAATATATTTATTTATTTTGTCTACATTTCAATTCTTAATTGCTTTTATATATTTCTATTCGTTGATGGGTCGTTTGAGTTCAAGGTTTATTCATCTATCTTTTTCACTTTTTTTAATCATTAGGACTGTTAACGAACCAAACATAAACAAACGGAGGTGGTTCGTATTTGTTTGTTAAGATTTTTGGAATGTTCGTGTTTATGTTGGTTTGTTAAGCGTTTATTAGTGTTTGTTAACATTCGCGAACACATACATTTACAAACGCGTTCATTAACATTAATGAACACGTTTACGAACATGTTCTTTAATATTTGCGAACATGTTAATTCACGTTCGTGAATGCTTAATAACCAAACATATGAACTTGTTCATGATCACAATTCGTTCATGAACAAGAAATAATGTATGTTCACGTAAAATAACCAAACAAGTAACATAACTACAAAGAGAATACAAACAAATATTAAACGAACACAAACGAGTTTGTACGCGAACATTATTAAACGAACACTAAACGAGCTTATTCGCGAACATTATTAAACGAACACAAACGAGCTTGTTCACGATCTCTTAGCAAACGAGCTTACAACTGTTCAGTCTATGTTCGTTTATAAACCGAGCTCTAAATTTTGTTTGTTAATGTTCATTTTCCTTAATAAACAAATATTTATCGAACACGAACACGAGTATTTTACTGACAGCTCTATTCACTAACACCCCTTATTACTCATGAGTTAATGACTTTCATATTTTATACAGTTTGCCTGTACATATTTTATACAGTTTGCCTGTACAGCCTTTCTCATTACATGCATGTTGAGCTGAGTTGTTCAAGAGAGGCTATTTGCCATCTCAATTCTCAAGCATTCAACACAGTTTCGGTCAAAACTACATTTAATTTCTTGCAACACTGTAAGGTAACCTAATGTACAAGAATCATGGTCATTTACTCAGTCACATTTTTAAGACTATATTTTAGTTTAATTTTTAAATATATATATATATATATATATATATATATATATATATATATATATATATATATATATGGCTTAATATTTTTTTTTTCTAATTATGTACTCTGTAATCTGTATATTGTTTTAAGTTTTAAAAGAGGCTAGACCTCCTCACTTTGAGAGGCTGCTGGTGAGACTCGCTCCCTGTTCATTCTTTCAACTTTTCACCTTTACGACCAATTGAGTTGTCCATGCGGGTATTTCATGGTTATACATATATGGGGTTTGCCTCCTACGAGAATCATGCCCGTGGTCAGAATTGTGATTTAATCTGGACCATTAACATTTTGATAACATCTTTCACATGGTGCACGATAACGTTTTGTGCCACTAATGATAACGTTAGGTCCCCTGTGGTATTAGGTTCTCAGAAATAACCTAAAGTTTCTATTTCCTATTTTATCCCCCAATTAAATCTAAAATTTGTTTAGACTTATTTTTCCTATCACGACACTTCTTTATCACTAGTACAACACTTGCATCCCTTTTAGGTTCAAACTCTTCCGCCTTCACAACCTATGTATCTGATTCTATGATGAATGTATATGGTGTTTATTTTTTTAAATATTTTTTATATATATTAAATTTTGTTTTTTTATAAATAAATAAATAAATTTAAATACATACATTCATGGAAAGATTGAATCAAGTGTTTGTTGCAAGAGATATGTTCATTTTCCTGTACTACTGGACGAGGCTGAGATTGCAAGAACTGAATCTCTATGGTCCTCACAAGAGAATTTACAGCTACACAAGCCATTCTTCAATTCTCTCTCTGTAGACTGTAGGTGTTTGTGCGTACGTAATTCAGTAATGCTTCACCAAATTGGAAGTTTTCAAAAAAAATTAAAGATCAATTGGAATTAGCGTACATACGACACTAGTTAATATTTAATTTGAATTGTTTGAAGATAATATCTTTATCTTTATCTTTATATCTTTATCTTTATCTTTATATCTTCTTTATATATAATTATAATTATAATTATAATAATTATAATTATTATAATTATATAATAATTATAATTATAATAATAATTATTATAATTATATATATAATAAAGCAGAATATAACCACAAAATTTTCTCTCCAAAGTGCGAATGCATTTTGAATTGATAAAAACAAGATTAGCAAGTATGGGTAGATGTATTTATACATATTTTTTTGAAGTTATTATGTGTATTAATATTTTATAAATTATATTTTATTATTATAGCTCTATTTCTATCTCTATATATATTAAAGCATAATGAAGTATGAAAAAAAGTTTATTGTGTTCAAATTTATTGGTAAAGTTTTATATTTAATATAATTTGTTTATATATTTATTTAAATCTCAATTATAATTAATTTGACTCCACATATATAAAGAGGGAAATTATATATAAAATAAATATAGTTTTTACATAAATAATCTTTTTCAAATGAATAAATTTTTAGTGGAGATTTTTGACAAATATCCTGTTATTTTAATTACAAGTTTTATTTAAATACGTTAGTTATATAATTAAAGTAGTTATTTCAAGTTCAAATTCCTTTCAAAAAAAATTTTCAAATTCAAATAATAATACAAGTAACAATAAACTTTAAAATCAACATAATAATAGCATAATTAAACATTTAAAAATATTAAATATCACAGTGTATAGTTATACTTACATTTTTAATCAAACTAATTCTGAGCTCAAGAACTCAAGTACGTTTTTCTGTTTTCATATGTGTGTTTCACTGTGGTGTATTTTATTACACTATTGGTGCATGTTGTCAACATTGTTGGTGTATTCTGGAACCCGCTCGCTATAAATAGCCACTGTAATTACCATAACACCTCCACTTACCAAAACGCGCGAAAATCCTCAGAATTACCACTGTCATTAGATTAAACTGATTCAACGACACAGATACGACCACACCGCCACACCTAATGACATGACCACATATGAGCGCTCTTCTATATATATATATATAATACGGTTCAAATGCGGATGGTGTGCTCAGGTGCGAACGTGGGTGAGATGAGAGTCATTGATCTTGCATTCTTGCCAAGATCAACGTCCAAGATTAACAAGGTTTCACTTGCGGCTTTTTTTTTTCTACAAACCACACACCTTAATAAGTAAAATCATGGACCTTAAGAGAAAAACCACGCATCTAAAACTTTAGACCGACGCACCTAAGTTTCGAAAACTGACGCACCTTTAGCACACATAGAGTACAAAACCACACACGTTAAACACAAAGACCACGCACCTTAGGAAGGAAATTCACGCATCTTAATAAGGAAAACCATACACCTTAAATTTGACCGTGATGTAAAAAGACCAAATTGCCACCACGTTTTTTTAAACCTTGTTAATCCTGGACGTTGATCTTGGCAAGATCAATGACTCTCATCTCACCCCATGTTCGCACGTGAGCACACCATCCGCATTTGAACCGTGTTATATATATATATATATATATATATATATATATATATATATATATATATATATATATATATATATATATATATATATATATATATATATATATATATATATATATATATATATATATATATATATATTTATTTATTTATTTATTTATTTATTTATTTATTTATATGTTCTGATTTACTGTTCATTGAATAGCTAGGGCAAGTGGGCAACTAATCGTTTTCAAAACACCAAAGCCTATATTCTAACCATTCTCTATTTCGATCTTTCCTGTCATCACCAACTAATATTATGAAATAATGAGCTTCAAAAAAAAAAAAAAAATATTATGAAATAATGAAATATATTTTAACATCTACTTTTTCTATAATTGTGGATTTTTTTGTTTGGATGTGAATTTCAATTCAATTCAACTTAAATAATAATTTTTGAATGTCGTTGCCGCAAAAAAAAATATTTCTAATTCATCTTTTTGATTTGATTGCTACGGCAACGATTGATTTGGAGAGTTCATAATCGGATATCCTATGTAATAAGGCGATTCTTTTGACTTAGAATTGCGTATCTTACGTTGGGTGATGGTACTATTAAAATATAATGACAAGAGCAACTTATGTATAAAGAAATGAAGTTGAGTTGAGTTGTGGAGGCGGTATAGATTCTTTGTGGTTTAGTAGGTTAAAAAAAGTAGTTATAAACAGATACTACATTCAATAAAAAAATGAAGTTGAGTTGCATTTTTACTATTAGTTATATTTCTTAGTTTATTAGTAAGCATTGTGAGAGTACGCTCCGATGAGCTGCTCGACATTGTCGATTGGGAGGAGAGAGAGGATAACTTTTGGCTAATTGATACCAGATGAGAGTGGAAAGTGATCAATCTATTCTGTAACAGTATTCAGGTACAATAACACAATCAGAAAGAGTCTCTATATCTAATAGGCTAAAGACTAGATCAATTATTCTAAGCCACACAAAGTATTTAAACAATAC